TGATGGGTCACAAACAGGCCAGCTCGGCTGGCATCGTGAACAAGAAAAACAGTAAATAGTAGCRYTCTGATTTAGTTTCACAACTGGCAGGAAAGACATGAGTCGAAGCATGGCTGCATGGTGGGGAGRATTATTTCTTAAACTATATTGTGCTCCAATGTGTCCTTCAAGTTCTCTAAAAGGTAACAGCGACTGAAAGTTCAACTGTCTGGGTCAGAGTTTATTAAAAAGCATGTTGAAAGTAGAGACGGGATCTGCGGTTATAAAAATAGCTCTCATGGATTTGTAATTTCAAAGAGATGCTTAATTTTGACCGGTTAGTGACATCACTGCGTGTGGACTATGTCACTATATACATCAGGACRTACGATGTAAAGGCCGTATCATGTGACTTGTCAATGGCAAAAAGCCCTGTCTCCATCTTAAGCGCATGCTCATTATAAATTTACAAATACACTTTACTGTTGAGCAAACATCTGTTTGACAACATTGTTGATTCATGGCTTCAGCATGATRTTATACGGTTCATATCTGGGTTGTGAATGCAGATGCAACATGTCAACAAAGGAATCAGACTGCCGTAACATTCAAATGTTGCATCAGAGATATACTGAAAATAAACAAGAAATATGTTCCAGCAATGCAAAGCAAAGACTCAAAAATATTTTTAAATAATAGTCCTCATCACCACTTTAGCTGTGCATGACACCTGAATATCTTTGCTACCAGTTGTGGTGTGAAAATTTAACAAAAAAGAATTAAGATGGATGACATTTATTGCATTTCTCATTTACAGAGGCAGCAGAACTGAACGTCATCTCTGAACGTTTAATTTGTGTCTCATTGAAGCATAAGAATGATGTGATTGGTACATTCTGGATGAGCTAAAGATTAGTGTTGGCAGATCTCTGACCAGAACAACACTGATCTCAAAAGAATCACAGCAGCTCATACAAATATCATTTTATACATCTGCACTGTTAGTTTTRCATTAGATGTTTGTTCTGGCAGAAATATTATGATTAAGTGAAATGGCCCATGATGCATTAGAAGTGCTAAAGYTTAATAATCCTAAAATTATATGTCAATACCCATGTATAATGGAAGTGTAAAGGTTTATTGAATCACTATGAATTTTGATTTTTAAGTTAAATTGTTTTAAGGCAGCAGCTGTCTGCTTTGGTTTTGGCCTCACTGAAACCAGATATTAGCTCATCAATCCAGTTAAAAAGATCTGTTGCTTTAATGAGTGAACAATGGCCACAGTCCTGCTTCACAAACAACTGTGTCTTTAAAAAAGGCAGCTGTGACAAAGTGACAGTTGTGCTGAAGCTCAACTGTCAATCGCCATGACCCAACATGTACCACGACTTAGCAGAGCGGCTAACTGGAACGCCGTCATTACGCAGTCAGTCACTGGCTGGCAGCTTAAAAATGTGCATTACATTCAAGAAGATAGGGTTTGTAAGTCAGGGTATTAAACCTGCATGTACACACAAATACCACAAAGCTRCATTAACTTACACAGTCTGCATGATGTAATCCTTTTCCCCGTTTGATTTTATTCTTTTTATTCTAGGAACTTTATTTATTTATWTAAATAAAAAAGGATACCTTCTCTTGTTCTCTTTCTAATTTTAAACCATGTCGCARTATGCAAAACATCCGTCCAGACTCAGATTCTTCCTGATCTCTCATCTTTTGCCCTGAAGACGACATCATCTCTAATCTTTGGTTTGTATCACAGACCTGAGCGCAGGCTGTGTGTTATTGTTGTCCCAGCAGCTAATCTCTCCGAATCAGGTCAGTGATGATTCATAGGACTGATAATCTGGTTACATCATACATATGCACTTCCTGTCCTTCCCATGTCCATGTTATTAGCAAAAAAAAACTTCATAATCATGTAAATGCGTTGAAAACAAATAAGTTTTCAGTCAATATTTCACCACCATTACTTGTTTACTGACCTTATTTAAAGTATATTTGTTTTATTTGAACTGTTCATGTTCTCTGTGTGAAAATAAACAATAAATATCTCATTTAACAGTCTCAATTTGAAAAATGACATATTTTTTAGCTGCTTTCTTGTTGCATTTTAAATTTTAGTGATGTTTTTAAAGAGTTTTCATTGCTTGTTGTAAACCTTTTTACTTTCTGGGCGGCTGTGGCGGAGTGGTTGTGGGGGTCGTCCTTTAACTGGAGGGTTGTGGGTTCAATCCCCAGTTCTAGCCATCTCAGTCGATGTGTAAGACACTTCACCTGCCTTGCCTATACTGATGTTGGTCAGAGGGTCATATGGTGCTGGTGCATGGCTGTCCCGCCCCTGCCACTGTGCCCCAGGGTAGCTGTGGCTACAATGTAGCTTACCACCATCAGTGTGTGAATGGGTGAATGACTTTAGTGTAAAGTGTTATAGGGTTCGATGGGGCTTGATAAAGCATTAAATAAGTTCAGTCCATTTACTATTACCATTTTCTACTTATGGCAATAATAGGAGATTTAAATTCAACATAGATCAGGGGGATCTGGTGGGATCTGGTGGGATCTGGTGGCCCTCAAAGGGTCAGTTGTAATTAACTTTGACTTTACCAGTTTAACTTTGACTAAAAACACAAGGCATTACGTTCCTCATCTCTTTGCTATGGCTGAGCATGGCTAACAAACAAAAACTGAGCTCTACGTGGTATTTCCTGCATAGAAACAGTGTTTTAGAAACATCTTTTAAACACTAAATGTACTATGTGTACAACTGATTAAATGTGGATAAATTATACAGAAATACTAATAAAAGTAAAAATAAAAATGTTTTACTCGTCTGAACTCTCCCACATTCTGACCAGGAATTCCCACTGGAGGGAGCATTCCAGCTTAAAATCATGACTTGTAAGTGGGAAATTCCCCCTTCCCAGTACATCTTGGCCCACAGCAAAAGCAACAGGCGAAAACACAGCTAAACAGAGATTTTACACTGCAAATTTTGCCCGCTGCCTGCGCACCTCCACCTAGCGGTGGTAAAAGTAAATGGGTCAAGCTGCATTATGGGAGATGTAGTTTATGGTCAATGCTGGCTTTAAAAAAAATTAAGATATTATTACAATTTCAAGCTTTCATGGGCCGCATTTGGCCCGCAGGCCTTGAGTTTGACACATGTGACACAGATTGACAAGCTAACAACTGGCTTCCACTGAGCCAAAATTAAAGTGGATTGATGCCGTTTTACAACAATGACTTTACAGTGGTTCATGTAAATGTTATTTCATGAACCTTTGCATCGCCTTCATTTTCACCCTTGCTCATTTRCAGAGTCCTTTGGGGTGTTTTGCTAACACAAATAGCAGCAGCTAAATAACTGCTTGTTGTAGCTGTTGTAACATCCAGTGCAGCCATGCTCGTCAGTCAGGAATAGTAATATTTCTGCTTGAATTCTTGTGTAAGGCAAAACTGCTGTCAGTGGCTCTGCTAAGACTAGCCATTAGCTCATCTCTCCAGTCAAAATGAACAAAATGAATAAATTCAAAGAGCTATCTTTAATAGGTTAGATATGAGTGTTTGTAATAATTACACAAAGGGATCATAACTATATTTTTAGTGTTGTAAAGTGTGTTTGTGTACATTTTGCACMCAAGCAGTCAGTTTGGTTGTCTTATGTCCCTCCAAGGATTTTAGATGATTGCTAACAAGTCGAGCAGGGGGAGGATGTGAGTCGTTATAGATGTTTTAAAATCTGCCCATAAAGCCCACAGGAAGGAAAATTCATAAAACAAATTACATTTAATACATTACATTAAGCAAAGAGATTCAGAATAAAAAGATCTAGATTGTTGTAACATAAAGCAGATAGAGTTAATTCAACATCTCTTTYATTTATTTTTCATATGAATGCACTTTGTTGTTCCTAAGATTACGCGCGGCAGTGTTATTTAGCTAACTTGATTATTTGAGTGTTCCCAGCTGCTTCTTTACAGGAATCCTTGTGAAATAATTAGAAAAATTACAAGAGCAAACAGAGAAAGACAGAAGTGTAGGGGGTAGAAAACTGCTCTTTATTTCTTAGTCATCTAAGCAGCACAAACATCCAAATATAATCATCTGGTTTTCCAGGACAGCTCCCAGAAGGGTCAACATGATCTAATCACAGGTCAGCAAAAACAAAACTCCACGTCCGTACCGGTACTATCTATCCCTCCTTTCGTCCATATTCTTTCTATCAGCTGACCACCTGGCGTTAGGCAACACGCTCCCTTTCCATCTGCTCCTGTTCTCAAGTGAAGGAAAAACCGAGGGACAGATGGTTCGATGAAGAGGATGTAAAAATAGGAGTAGGAAAAATAAACAGTCGGGTCAGCAGTGATAGCAGCTGAGTATCTTTTATCAGCATTAAATTAACAAAATAAAAAAAAGTTTGAGCAATGCAAAGCGGCACACACGCTAACAAAAAAAAAGGCAGCAAATATGAATTTTTCATTCATACAACCGGAAGCTGCAGCTTAATAAAGTGGTCTTAAAAGCTGGAGTTACGTTCAGAAACCAAACGTGAGACAGAAAATCAATGTGTTCTCTGTGTAATGTTGGACATATGGTGCATAATTAATACCTGCTCTGTGAGTGGCTGCTGCACAGCTCCGGGCGGATGTGGAGCTTCTGTGACAAGAACAACATTTACTGAAAGTGGTTCACCATAATCCTTCATGTYGACAGAGTGTGTCTCTGGGAATGTGTGAAGACAAAATGAGAATTAAAGACCTTGCATCCCATGCCAGGGTTGTAAGCAACAACAACAAAAAAAAAAAAAACATTTTTGTGTTGGTTATTGTTRATCAGCTGTGGTGGCCATCTTGAATTAGGGTGACTTCAAAAGGTAATCAGTTGTAGACATGAAACCAGTAACTTCTGAGTGTTTCAATTAAACTCACCCATTGGTTTATGGAATATTTTGCTAACAGACAAACAGGACTGACACTAATATCTAATGCCATTTTTAGTTTGATAATCCTTGAAATTATTTTTGTGCAACATAATGGTATCTTGTGTTACCCAAACAGTGTAAATATTTTTTGACTATTTCCAAAAACCGCTATTTCCCAAATTTCGCTACAACAAATGGCCTTTAAATTGGAATGAAAGAACCTTCATCTCCAGCTTTCCTTCACACCATTTAACCTCCACCCAGGGATATTTAGAACGTGAAGCGATTCGCATCCAGTGAGGTCTGTTTGGGATGAAAGCAGCAACGTGATCGCAGCTAAATCGGACAGAAATAGGAGCCGAAGCTGGATGTTTTGGGTACACCGCTGATGCTGCTATGTTTTTCCTGTCAGCACGGCACACAGATGCAGGCTGTCTGCAGAAATAAAAAAAAAATGAAGCAAACATGAGTGTAGATGCACATGCCCCTTATAATGATTAGTAAACAACATTTTGGTTAAAACGATTACATTGCTGACTGATTTAGCTTTTTATTATAATTTCCCAGCAGTACAACGTTCTAACATGACTTACAGGTGGTGTTTGGACAGTTTTTCATTCAGATTTTATTCATGCTCTTTGCATTCCTTAGGTTCATCTCTAATAGACAAATATTTGGGATGGGTAGGTTTTATTTAAAGAGTTTCAGAGTCCAAATCAGATCTGACAATGACACCAACGTTGAAAAAGACATTTCAAGTTAGGCTAAAGAAGGTTTAAATGTGATTATGACAAAAAGAAATAATCTTCTGAGGGAAGTTTTGAAGAAACACAGACCGTGTCTTGTTATTTTTTTTTTTAATTTGAGGACTTAGACGACTTGCATGGAGCTTGAAGAAATAAYCAAAACTTTATTTTGAAGTTAAACAAAGGCTGATGTGGCAGCAGAACAAACTTACAAAGATTGAGGAAAACAAGCTGAAAAACTGGAATGGTTTCAACTCGAAACTGCCGTCAGTMCAACTTCACAATTTCAGGTTCAAAGGATAGAAATCTGAGAAACAGCAGACAGAAAAGGAAACAAAAATGGCCAATAGACTACAAAAATAACCGAAAAACACAGGTAAAGACATAAAATGTTCAGTGGTGTCGCTTCATTCTCAAAGTTAGAGAACAATAACCAACATTGTTTTTTTCTGTGTGAGAAATTATTTATTTGTTTGTTTGTTTGTTTGTTTGTTTGTTTGTTTGTTTGTTTGTTTGTTTGTTTGTTTGTTTGTTTTTTACAACAGAATGTGGGTTGTCTATATTTTGCTTATTTTGGGGGGCATGATTTTTTTGGGGGGGAAGAAAATAGAAATGGAAAAGAGAACAACAGCAACACATACAATTTCCTTTGTGCTGTGAAATATTTTTCTTTTCGCTCTCTTTGTTGACCTCGTTCACTTTGTTTCAATACATTTTTTCTCACAATTTTCAAAGAAACAAACAGATTTCTGGCCGGATGTGACTCTCGTG